ATCCTGCCAGCGCCATTACAAGCGTATTTTGCAATGATGGAAGAAAACGTGGACACTTCACCGACATGTTTGGAGCACTTCACCGATTCCATGCTTTGTTGTCGCTAGCCTATCATGTAATTGCTGGTGCCAGTATTGCGCACGACCTCGTGCCATATGAGGCACGCTTTTCCCGCCTATGACACTTTGCGCCAAATATTTAGAGGATTGTCCTCCGAACACAGTAGTTTGACCCTGTGTCGTGACGTTCACCTGCTTGTTTTCGTTTTGCCCGACAGGTCACACACATTTCACGCGTTGGAGGAAACCTGCAGATTCGCAAAGAAGATGTACGTGCTGACGTCTTCAAGCCAACGGTTGCGCTTCCCACTATGACCGTGGAAGAGTTCGGAGAAATAGAGCTGGAGCGCGCGACAGAACGCACCCAACAGGTGAAGCGAATACATCGTTGTTTTTCCGGCCGCGGCGTAGTCTCCTTGACGGCAGTGCACCGCTAGTGCGGGATCGAGGTGTTCATCGGTTCTAGCGGTAGATCTTACAGTTGACGTGCAAACTGCGTGCTCTACGCGTACTGAAAACAACCTCATGCCGCCCTTGAATTATACCACTGTAGTTCGTTGTGCGGGATACCTGCCGCGGAACGGTTTTCTGCTTACCGTGTGTGACCTTCTTGGCGGGTGCTCGAGTCGGTTTCTACACGACTGGGGACAAGCGATTTTCAACATCGCAGCGCCGATTTGATGAGCCCTCTCTTCTAAACTATAGACATAATTACGCCTCCCTAGACAGCCCTCCTGACGTTTGCCTGCAGGATACTCGAGTCATGTTGACGTCCGAACGTTATCCAGGACTTGGAGCTAGAAATGGTAGTTTTGTGTTTCCGGTGATGCAGCCACAACATGGCCATAATGTGCGCGCGAGGTAGATGGTCTTTGCGACGACAATGAAATGAGCGCGATGGGTTGCTCGCAAACATGTCGCGTTTCAACGTACAGGAGGCTGCGGCTCAGAAGGATTCGTCTTCGACGCGGCGGAGATACGACCAACTGGAGATGGACGGAGATGAGGATGACGAGGATCTTGTCGAGCAAGCGGCGTATCACGACCGCGCGTGGGATGACTGGAAAGCCGAGAATCCCAGGGGGGCAGGGAATAAAGCGAACAAAATAATTTGATTCGCAAGGCCCTACCATGCATCGGATGTGCACCACCAGACTGTGTACAACCCCGTGTTCCCGAAGAATCCTCGGAGAATTGAGCAGGACGGGCTCAAAAGGGCTGTCGTAATGCACCAAAACGTGGCGCTGTAAGCGAATCCTTTTATACAGTGAACCTACCCAGAGATTGCCAATGGTGCACGTTGTATTCACTGCGCTGTGTATATGTACAATTTGTCGTGGCCAGCAACAGCGATAATGTCTTCCTTGGGATGCCAGGACATGTGAAGGATCTTCTTCTCGTAATCTATCTCTCCGACAGGATTCCGCGCCAATCGTCGCTTCGCTTTCTTGCCGCCGGCCTTTTTGGACGGGTCTTTACACACCTGTTGGTGAAACACATGGGCATGGCGTGACAAAGACGAAGTCGCCCTGGTTGTCAGTTGTGCCTCGAATAGCTCACATAAAACGCAGTTGCTAGAAGTGAAACAAGGTTCTGGGTACGGACACACCAATGCGTTTTTTGGCATTTCGCCGATGGGTGATGTCACGTACTTCGATGTACACTGTGGACCACAATTTGGAGTACATGGTTCATAGCATACGAGCGCGGTTTGCATGTTTTCCAGTTGGGCCTCACCAATGAGCAGGTACGTTGCTGGAGGGAGAACCTCATAAGCTGTGCTCTACAGAACAAAGATTCATGCACTTTCGGATGTTTTGTTTCTTGTTCATGATTTTACGAGAGTCGTTCCACTCCTTGAACGTGTCTCAAAGTCACCAAGCAGGGGGTCTCGTTGACCGAGCTGGCAGACATCGTGAGGTCTTGAAAAGAGCATCATTTTCAGCGACCCCTGTACAAGCGACGGGCCCCAAGAATATCTGATCGAGGCTTAGCGTCTTAATGCATCGCCGCTGTCGAGCACAGGTTGTTGCACAGAGTTTTAGGTCTTGGATCCACCGCGGAGCTATAGCTAGCTGCAGTTCTTGGCCTATTGACCTAGTCTACATTCTTATTTTCCGTGAAAGAATGGAGCCTCAGGTTCTCAAGCACGACGTCTTGTTGGTTACAAAATGCGTGCCTAGGTGCAACTCATAAGACATCATTTCCTCCAAGTTTGTCCAAGGAGCACAGTTGTGGAAGCCTCTTTCCTCGAAAACTTGTCACTCACGCGAAACACTCCCCGGCATCCGCTCGGAAGATAACGATCACGAAGCTCATGTCGCCTTCTTTCAATTTTGTCCAACCAAATACAGTAGCCTTACAATCCCTTTTTCCCTTCTCGTGGCCCTAAGGTAGAACCTACAGCAAGCACCTGGCTACCACATGGAGCAATTGTCTCACCTCGATCGATGCCATCGCCAGCCCATATCGGTCATACATATGACACATGTTGCTGTATGAGCCCGTGAGCACGTTGCTCGCGTCTCCGCTCACGGCACACTCGAACTTGTCGAATATGCAATCGGATTCGTATAGATTGCAAAGCTGCGAGGAGAGAGAAACATTGTAGCAAGTGTTTCAATTGTGAGCAACATTTAATGTCCGACACGTGCAGCGGCAGGGTTGTCAATAGTACTATGCATATGTACTGTAGGAGCGCTCGTGCGGGTGAAGTACTAGCAACAGCACTCGGATTGCGTTGGGCCTGTCTTGCTCTTCCATACATGAATGTATTGGTGTGGCAGAATTTCGAAAGGATAAAGCCGACGACGCCATAATGTTATGGAGGAACAGGGAAGTATAAAGGGATAGAGCAAGGGAGTGGGGCTGGTCAAACAACTGTCTGTACCCGAAGCCAGGAGCATTGAACTTGCTCCCTTCCCTTTTTATTTCTCTGTTCTTCGATATCACCTGTCCGTCGTTCTTCGATACGTCCTGCCCGAAACCCCAAACGCAATAACAATACGAAAACAATCAAATGGATTAAACACCCCCATAAATATACCCTAGATGACCAATATAACTACAACTCCAGTAGTGGGTCACAGTCAAAACTTCGGGAGCCAGTGCCTGGACGGTAAAAAACGAAAGAGAGGTGAGAACCTCACATCATGCTATGTGGCGGTGGGCGAAGATACATTAATTAGTTTCGGGCGGTTTATATCCATGATTTTGACAATGTGCGCGTAGGCGATTTTCTGCTACTGGAAACATGAGTTCAGGTCCCCGATCGACCGATTGCCCACAAACAAATGCTTCAACGCATGCAAACATACTTCCGGTGCCGGCCCGCTCACGATAAATCGAGGCTCGGATTTTCTAAAAAACAAGAAAAATGTGGTGAAAAAAGCATCCCTCACTTGTGGTTAACGCGAAGGTGTACCGATTACGGTACAAGTCAATCGACGGGAACCTTAGGAACGGGATCCCCCTCAACCTAAAGATGTCAACCCATCCTCGACCGGCGGGTAGTTACGGTATCTCGAGTGGGTAGTCTTTCTCTTGTGTTACGTACATGTAGTACGTGTACCTCCCCTCCCCCGGAGGGCAAAAAAACCGTCTGGACTATATGCGTGTCTCGGTGGTTAGAGCCCACTTCACGCAAGCCGCACCTGGTGAAAACATCATTTGGTACTACAGTAGTAAGGACATTTCACGCGTACTTTTTGAGCAGGTTAGGTGCTGTCTTGGTGTGCTCCGTTCGGGTCTCGCGTGATCCATGACTGGCTTGGGAGTCCGAGAGGAATACTCGCTCATAGGTTACAGAAACGACAACGTTATTAGACCGGTAAGTATGTGTGTGCAGAGCTTTTGATGCACCCTTCGTGCTACGTATTTCGAAGCAATTTTTAAATATGACTGGACTCAGCCGGCGGCGGCACCACACCAAACCCTTCGTTTGATGACAGCATCGCAAGGCCTGTGGTCAATCTTTGAGACGCCAAGGCTTTCAGCCTTTTGCAAAAAAAAACAAAGAAAGGCGATTACATAGTAGAATCACATTTTTTTTGTTGGACCGTGCCTCCACAACCACCATGACCATGGCGCCTTCAACATCTTCAAGCAACCCACTCTCTTACAGACTACCCCCCGCCGTCGCGCGCGAAATCCCCTCCTCTCGGTGTGTGCCATCGGGGCTGGGTTTTCGTCGCTTGACAACGACGTTGTAAAACAAGCCGATCACTCCGTGAGCTCCACATCCAGGTTACCCCTTTTTTTTCTTAAGCGCTTGGTGATGTGAGAGTCTGGTCCGACGAGAACCCGGTATGCTCCGTCCCGGCTTTGTAGGCATGCGAGGTTGATGGTCGAACAAATACATCCGGCATGCACGACTATGAGTACACCCCTCCCCCCCCTTCGCGTGCGAAAAAGAAGCATCGTGGACACCTTTTAGCAGATGCCCGGGTCCCTTGTCGTCCTTCTTTGTGCAAGATCCGCCCCGGCCAGGGTTAAGGTTTTGGCGATCCTATTGGTATTTTGTGCTTGGAGGGGACGGGGAACTCGTGGGAGAGAAAAGTACACATAGAAGGCATGTCGGGAGTCTGACCTGAGGGCGCAGATGTTCGTGGACGTTTATTGTCTTCACTGGTCTCGCTTCCATGTTGACGTCCCATAGTTTCAGTGTCATGTAGTCTCTCGAAACGATGTAGCGTCCATCGGAGGTACTCTTGATGTCCGAAATAGACGCAACGATCTCCGAAAAGAACGATTGTGCCGAGGTCTCGGCTGGTTTCTCCAAGACTGAGAGGGAAAGGGATGAGGGCGTGACAGCCACACACGTTATACATGTATCCATGACTATTGCAAAATAGAAATAGCCTATGACGCAAGCCACAGCACCTTTCGGTACCAGTGAGCTCCCTCAAGTCCTCGTTTCCTTTGTCACGCCTTGCAATTGATTAAGCTATCCGAGTGTTCAGTGCTGAGAACAACAGTCACAAAAACAAAAAAACAAGTACTGCTGACCTTTTGCATGCTTGTCACACAGAGCGGATGCTCTCATGTCGCCCATCTTGATGCACCCACGACTGCTGCTATACAAAAACACGTTACAGTGTGACGGGTGAAACGTCGCCGCCGTGATGACCTCCGTAAGCTCCTCCATACTCTTGGGCTTCATATCTAGGATGTCTGAAACAGATTGGCGGGCGGATCAGTTCAACGGATGTAATTCCACGCAGATATTCTCAAGGCAAAGTCAACGCCTACGTCGAAATTCTTGTGTCTTGCAAGGCAAGCGATCCAAGACGTTTGACCCATGAAGTTTGAACCAGAAAATGCACTCGTTCAAGCAACTCGCTATTGGTTTACGAAGATGTCTCGTGCGTGGCCCGCACTCAACCGAAGCAACCTACGCCAAACATGGGTTGTTTAAGGAAAACACTTACTGAAGCTCCTATCGGTGATTTCCAGGTTCCACATGTTTATCCGCAGGTCGTCTGCAGAAATGAAGTGCTCTCCATCACTGTTCGGGTCTACCGAGTTCACGTGGTATGTATGCGCATTCGCGAACACTCTACGAAGGCTTGTCGCGACCGCCGTGCCAGCTACGGACACTTGTGGTAATGTCAATGCTCCTTTGCGTCGTCCGATCCCTTCCCTGACCGAATTCGGCATGGTGGTCGTGACTTTCTTCATTTGCTTCTCGCGGACCTTCCACAATTTTACTGTTTTATCTGTTAACGAAAGAGAGGACAACATGTGGACGGCAATCATTTGGATGTCGGCATGAATGCCACAGACATGCACCGCACGACAAACCTCCAATGGACGGAGACATGCAAGGAATTCTCTGCGGACGAAGGCAGTGTTCGGGCGAGGTGGGGCAATGAGGCCACGATAGACAAGACAATAACTCCTCGCTGGAGGCTCACCGTTCGTAGCCAGAAGGAAGAGCGCGTCGTTGACTCTTGGGCACCATTTTATTGCGTTGATTTTCTCCTCTATTTCCAGGCTTTTGAGGTAGTCGAACTCGGCTTCATGGGACTGAAATTCAGTGAAGAACTTGAAGTCACTGGTTCGTCGCACTTTGCCGCAAGAGTGCATCTGCCGTTGCCAGCCGTTGCCAAGATGCTTGAGGCTTGTTATGTACAAGTATGTGTGAAGAAAGTTGGAGACGAGGTCTCTACGATAATCTGTCGTAGTTTTCATGCGAGCGTGCAGCTGTGCTAAAGCTGCGGATGGCGTTTGCAGAAGTTCTCATGAAACACGACGACGACAACCAACCGCGGTACTTAGATTAGAGCACAATGTGATGCAAGGGCGAAGTTGCACTCGAACGACTTCTTGTTACGATACAACACGAGTTATCTTGTGCATGCAATGCAGTGCTTGTTCAATTCATATTCCTACTCCAAGTAGTCTTTGAGCATTTGAAATATCGCTGTCAACCGGACATCGCTTGTGTTCTTACGACTGTATTCACCTTTGCCTTGCCTCCACTCTTCTTGAATATGACGACTCTCCCCCCTCGGTCTCCCGTTGCGAAATACTCTCCGGAATCGTCAAAACTAACCGCGGAAAGGATATCCGCTGCCGGGTTCGCAAAAAGAGAGATAAAGGGGCCTGCAGCTGAGAAAATAACTGACGTACATAAGCTACGATATGGAAGTAGGCTCCGTGCTGAGGTGTGTATGTTTCAACCACAGCGAATCTGAGCTTTAGCTTCACCCGATTTTTCCCTCGTAACGTAGAGACGGGCGGCCCCAGCGCGTGTTTGTGTCTGCATTGCAAACGTACTCTCATTTGTATGTAAAGCAGCCAGAGTCGGGAATGTGATTGAATTGTTAAATGGTGAGGGTCACGAGCGTATTGTACGAAAGTGGTACCTTTCAATTGGTACCTTTCTTTGGGGCACACGGGCACTGCTGTAGTACCGGATCGGACCTGGAAAAATGACTCATTTGCAGACGGTGAACGGGTTCCAGGGAATACACTTGTACGTCGTGGAAGCAATACCACATAACCGATCATGGCAGCACGATTCACCTTGCGTTGCTTCCTCTGCTGGTGAGCAGTCGCCAAAACATTGGCTCAGCTTGAATTCCGGCGCATTTTTACCGCTCATGACATCATCGTCTTTGCACACAGTTGCCGCTGGCGACAGCGTTGATGGACAGACACTTGATAGTGCGGGGCTCTCCACACAATAGCTTGGCATTTGTAGACTACCAGCGGTTCGGGCTTCCACTCTGCCATCCTCGACAGCGATCATCGAAGCTGGTCAGCTTGCTCTATATCCAGGTGTGCCGGTATCTGCGAGTAGACCCAAATTGGTTGCTGCACGAACAATTGCCGCTCGTGGATCTGCTTGCCCTCGCAGCTGAGCACTACTCCGTATCACGCCGGTCGGTGTGTGCGTTACGTGATCACACACACTCGGGGCTTCGCAGGACGCCAGATTCTCACTACTTCACGAATTCTCGTGTGGCGTACACAAGCACGTTCCTCTAGACATACGCCGCTGCCGAGGTGGCGAATGCTCTTGCTTCCTAGTCCCGTCTACAGCACTGATGCCGTGTGGAAAAAATTGTCCCAATTGAAGAAAGATCAAGATATCGACAACTGATACCCGCACGTTGGCCGACTGCTCTGTCTCTCTCTCTCTCTCTCTCTCTCTCTCTCTCTCTCTCTCTACCACACCTCCACGCGTTAGACACCGCGATTGATTTACTTATCAGGAACAGGCGCCCACGCAGTCCGTGTGCTGATATAGTACTTGCCCTAGAGCTGGATTTAAGTTCCGTTTCTGTTTGGGCTTGAGCCGTCATCAAACTGTCAATCAACCGTAACAGTAGGATTTCCTCATTCATTCATTTGTCTCATTTTGTAACGGTAGGGGTTAACCCTCCTTGCAAACCCTACAGTGACGTGCGACGTTTTTGCCCTGGGGACCCCCCACATGACCTCAGCGTAACCCCCAATCATCAACACCATCACGACACTGCCTCACCGCCCGCGTCTCTGTGCCTATCTGCCTCACCTCTTTCCGCAAATCTCCCGCCTTCCTTGTGCAACACTCACCAAGGTATGAAGACATGATGAATGTCTTAGCATGGGTTGGATTGGTGGATTCGCTGATCTTCTGATCTTCCTCTCCCTTCCTTCCACACGTGGATGAGGATCCTGTGGCTATCGTATGCATATGCGTTGGAGAGAGTCGATCAGAGTCTCTGAAAGACGGCACACACAGGCCGGCAGGCTGAAGATCTTTGGACCTTGGCGAAGCAATGAATGCCCTTCATTTAATGTATCATGCCCTCTTAATTGATTTGGAACATCGCCAACGGATCCACCCCCACGAGCGACGAGACGAGTTTTACCATCAAACTTACCACCACCTGCTGTAGCAGCGACGCGGGCAGAGGAATTGTAACCCCGTTGGCTATCTGCCCTCCGTCCCGACGCCGATCTCCTCGCCGGTGCGCATTCGCGCGCTGCCTCTCTCCTTTCTCGTCCATCACTAGTGATTCTCGGATTGATGGGACTGGATATTTATTTCCAGATGTGTTTTGCCGAAGTCCCGTCTGATCAGTCGCCGGGGCACGAGGACGCCCAGCTGCTGCTCGGCAAATTTACTACAGGCTGCAGTGACTTTTGTCTATCGTTCACGTTGCCTGCCGCATCTGGCCGCACTTAGCCACACCCTCATCACTCGTGGATACCTAACCCCTGTTCGTCGGTTACCTGGCCATCTTGTTATTGTTGGCGCTGTACAACTGCTGTAGTATCTCTCTTGAGATTTGCGAGGGTAGCAGCACTTGTTGTACTTCTGACTAGTGTACAGCAGTGCTTCCTTTTTTTTTGTCTTGACTTGAATATCGGCGGTCAGCGTTGTTGTGCCGTTTTCTCCAATCCGTGGCTTCACAGGTTTCTCTCCCTGAGACCCCATACCCACCCCTCCTGCGGTGCGGTGCTTTCCCTTCGGTTTCAATGCGAGAAGCGACAAGAGTGCAGCACTCTGTTCCCTCTGTGTACGCACGAAATAGCCTTTCCGCCCAGGCACGGAATCGAGAGAAAACTTATACATGTACGCTGACTTTCCATTCCAAGTGCAATTTCCCGTTGCACAGCATATTGTTCAGATATCATTGTTTGTCAGCAGTATTCGCCTTAATCTACGATCCAAGTTCTATGGCATACTTAAAGAACTACAGATTCGCCGTTGGCGTTGTTGAAAGGATTGGAAGGATCCTTGTTCGAGTTATCTACCACATCAGTGTTGTCAGTACGAAGTCGCAGTAATGTGAAGGATGAGGATGCTGCTTTCAGGCCAGTTTTTTACCGAACAATCCAAGGGCACAGGGCATCAAGGACCAGAGCTCGTGAATGCCTGCGGCCATCAAATCAATCGCGGCGGTGGGAAGTTGTGGTGCTGTGCTTGGATCGTTCGACAGTGTGGCTGATGCAGCAGCATTCAAGCTGTGCTGCGTGCAGGTCACAGAACTCGATGAAGAGGGATCGTTTCGAAGTGGAATGGGGGATTCTGTAGAGTACCGCTGTACTTTGTGGGATGAAGTCCCTTGGATCCGGCGGTAGACACTGCATTGCTACACGCGACCGCTTCTTACCAATTCTATACTTCAGACAATCGTACTGAGGATGGTGGATGAATTTGGCAAACAAACAAGTAGGCGTTGTGCTCGATTTACCGGACGAGATTTGCCTCGTTTGCAGCCCCCCCTTCGAACGATCGTTGAAATTTCCGTGGAAGCCGCTCCACGCCCACAAACCGTGGGACATGTTTCCCAGCTCTCTCTCATGAGTCACACTTGATTTACGGGGAGTGGGATCCACCCTGGCTGTGGAGAGTTGGAAAGGAGGGGTGGGGGACAAGTTGGGGAACATATCCTCCTCGAAGGACACACGATGGTCACGGTGCTCGACCCTAACAACCAACTCCCACCGTTTCCCCTACGCACCGCTCCTGCAGATGGCGGAGCAAACCTTTGATAAGAAGAGGCGGTTGGATGAAGACGGAAACGCCTCGGCGTTCGCCGACAACACAGCAGAGAGTCGCAAGGAGAAGCTGGAGACCTGGCTCAAGCCCCTTGACAACGAGCAGCTGGTCAAGCTCCTCCTTGACATGTACGTTATGTTCCGCGCCAATGCTGTCCCCGTGTGTGCATGTGTGCGTTGTGCTTTTTCGTTCCACCTTTTCGGGGTGGCAGCCTTGCTTGGGTGCCTTGATCGTATTGTATGGCCATGCACGTGTATGTTGGCATACATAGACGGCAACTTCAACCTCTACTGCTTGTTCTTGTAATTGCCCACATTTCGTCGTCTCTGTCGTCTCGCCCATGATGTATGTTCTGAATGTGTCTACGTTTGTCTGCCCATCCTTTTGTAGCAAATACTGTATTGTGTTTCTATTTGTGTTTGCCGCGGCCCGTGTGGTGTGACCTCTTTCCTGTTTCTTTTGCTCTCTCGTACATGGTTCTGATGTCTGGCGTGCCCTGGACGTCTGGCGTGCCCTGGGTTCATGGCGTTTCTTCCTTCCAATCCGTGCGCATATGGCTTCGTTGCAACCGGCTTGTTGCGTACAAAATTCTTGTGCGGGTGCCATTTTGTGTGGTTTTGGGGCCATTTTGGCTGGGCATCCTCTTCTGCAATCTTCAGTGGGTCTGTGAACCCTGGTGCATTCGACGAGATCCACCGGGCCTGCGATGATATTCCGGTATGATTACGTTGCGCGTGGATTAGCACGGTCGATGACAGCTGTAGGTAGTGTGGTAGCGTTTGCTTTGGAACGGCAGTCGTGACATTTGCTTGAAACATTGGAGGTCCACTGCCCTCTGTTGATGATCTGGTTCTCACGTATCGTACTGTAGTCCTCGATTTCCGTCCCCGCCTCCAATTCACATCATTGTGTGACATGAGCCCATGTTGGCGGTTGTGCGCACGCCTCGCCAGCTTTTTTATCCCGGGGGTCCCCGCATTGTTTTTGCGATTGTACGTGAACGGCAAGACTACTGTTCGATGCTCTTACACATGGACTGATTTGTAGGTCCACATGATGCAGTGGATTCAATATTCACTTTTTCGCGGATAGTAGTTCATTTTCGGCATGCATACGAGCAAATGAATAGAAGTGTGCACATGCTCGCTTGAGAGATGCACGTTGCGTTTACCGGCCTAAAACACATTTGTTAAGGAGTTCTGCGAAAGCCAAACACTCCTATGTGACGACCTGTGCTTCTATCCGCGGTGTGGGTTTGTCTTGTTTTTTCTAGACGAGGAAATCTACGTTGCTTTTACGGCATTTCTTTCGCGCTGGCGGGATATTCAATTCTGACTTGGTTTCCTCCGTCGCTTGGAGTTGATGCCGGAACGAAAAAGTCCCAATTCTCAATGAGATTTTCCACAACTGCCGTCATGTCAGCACTGGAACTGTTGTAGGGGTGAACTTCAAGCCGCACCGTATGTTGCAGTACTCATAAAATAAAGTCCACCTTAATTTCAGTGTAGGGTCGCTCCTAAATATTTTGAAGGTGGAAGACAAAAACAGTGAACATCCACATCGAAAACTTACCTTTTCTTGCAATTTGGTTCCAATCGACCGTTACGCAAGCCGCCGCTCGAATCTGATGGGTGCAGTGCAGACGTGAGGTTGTCGCGGTTGTTCAGCTTTAGGCACCTATACTTGCTGGAGCATCTAAGGCTTAGTGCCTCGCTGCACGTGTTGCTCGTTTTTAGGTGAACAAGAAGATTTTCGTTCGCGGTCTACCATGGGAAACCAACGACCAGTCCCTTCGTGCAGTCTTCGAGCAATACGGAGAGATCGCCGAGGTAGGCCCCTGTGCATGAAAAACGTGTTATCAATAGCATGCATCTTTATATTGGGCGAGTCGGCTCCGCCAAGGGCTTGTATTTTTTTGCCATATATTCAGTGATTGTCGACCCTCTCCCCAATCTTGCGAGTTTGTTGCACTCGCTCAGGATCAGAGTTAAGAATTTGGAACAGCAGATCATCTGTCGTTCATCGCAAGGCACTTCCTCCTGTCGTCGTTTCGGCCCACCTGAACAACGCTGGCAATTCCTCCCGTTGTGATTGTTCTTGCGTCACAACATGCGGCTTTCGGCTGGTTGTATTCGTTGTTTTGTATGACAATACGGCTAGTGTCAACGACTTAAGATGATTCTCTTACCTTTGAACAGCTGGTTGACTTGGACTCTTATTTTTTCCGCCTGCTCGGTGACTTGCGCTCTAGGCCACCGTGGTGATGGACAAGATGACACAAAAATCGAAGGGGTACGGCTTTGTTACCTTCAAGAGCATGGACGGCGCTCATGCGGCTCTGGAAAATCCTGAGAAGATGATCGACGTGAGAAACTGTAGTCGACCGGTTGTTGACACGTCCACGTGCTTGAGTCGACCGGTTTCTCTCCCCCACTCGCGTGTATTGCTTCTTGACCCCCCGTTCATATTGGACGCGCGATTCATGGTGTCATTGCCGCTTTGTATCCTTGATTCGAGTACTGCTGCAGCCCATATCGCGCGTGCAAGCAACCGCGTGTTTGAGCCGAAGCTGTTTGACCGTATCAGGCATTTCTCGTTTCCCCACCTGGCATCACATGCTCTCGTTGCAGGGGCGGGTGAGCTTGTGCAACTTGGCGGCCCTGCGCTCCTCTCAACCGCTGCCTCAAAGGGCTGGTGGCGGGATGCAAGGCGGCGTTATGCAGGGTGGAGCGGGTGGCATGATGGGTGGCGCCGTGGGTGGATCAGGAGAGGACATCAGTGCCAGGAAGATCTTCGTCAGAGGACTCTCGTGGTGGGTAGTCGAACATGGTCGATGGAAACTTACCACTTTCACTTGTAAATTACTTCGGTGCGGAAGGATCGCTACGGTGGTATCTTGTGCAGATAGCACGCCTTTTCCGAAGTCTCTTTCTCAAACACGTTATTCTATCTCGGTTAACAGGGACACTACGACGGAGTCACTGCGCACGATGTTCTCTCAATTCGGCGAACTGGAGGATTGTGTGGTGACAACTGACCGCGCGTCGGGCAAGTCCAAGGGATACGGCTTTGTTACCTTCCGCTATGCCGTCAACGCTGCTGCTGCCGTTGCTGAGCCGGAGAAACAGCTTGATGTGAGTCCGAAATTACACACGCCAGGGATCAAGTCACAGGGCAATAACGATGCGTGAGGGAAGCAGTATGTTTTAGTTGGCTAATGTCAACCACAACGGTCACATCTGTTTCGCCTTTCGTTCAGCTGTCGCCTGTCTTGCGCGCTGGCGTCAAACAGGCTCATCGTGTTCTCTTGAGTATTTTTCGACACGACCGACGGTTAATTTATTAACACTGCGTCGCTGCTTTGCTGGGGTTGCAGGGTCGCCTGACCCACTGCAACATCGCGGCTGAGGGAGCTTCGGGCAGGAAGAACCAGAACTACGGTGGACCTCAGGCCGGTCAGCACTGGGGCATGATGGGTCAGCAGCAGCAATACCCTGCTCAAGGTATGCGGTTTCGTGTGTTCCTGCCGACGTGACATCGTATTCGACCAATCTATATGTTGTAAAAAGTCAGACTTGTCAAGCACGTCTTTGATCCCAACCTTAACTACACAACATTTTACACGCTTACACCATTTTCACAGGTCAAGGCTCTGGTCAGTGGGGTGTTGGCGGCGATGGTCAAGCCCAAGGCTTCGGCGGTCAGGGACAGTGGGGCCAGCAGCAGCAGTTCGGCGCACCTCAGGTACCTTCATTCATCATTTGTCCCAACGCCAGCTGTTTACCCATACTATCGCGCCAAACGAATACTGGTATGGTATGCTGCTGATATATGCACCCTCATCTCCGCTTAGTTGCTTCGAATACAGGCGGACTGTTGAGGAATGACAATGTTGGTATTCGCTTCCGTCGGTACAGGGTGTGCAGCAGGCGTATGGCAACGGTGCGTATGCAGGAGGCGCTGCTGCGTACGGCACTAACGGTGGTGCATACCAAGGCCAGACTACCCAGGCTGCCGGAGGAGCGGGTGCATGGGGCGGACAGCAGGGATACTGATCCCCCTCTTCGATGTGCAAACTGCCCGAGGGAGCCGATGGTTCCTTTGCGATTTTTTGCTTCAATTGGTAGAAAGTAGCGTGGACAAAAGGCATCGTGGTTGTAATGGAGGGATATGACTTCAGAGCTTCTACCGTCTTCATAAGTCTAAGCTCAAGGCACTCAGTCAGAGGATGAACGACACGAAGGACACGGCCACAGAAGAGGATCCATATTGTGAGTTTGCGTTAGGACAGGGTTTGGCTCAGCGGCCGCATTGATTGCTTGATTCACGCCAGGGAGAGCGATTACAAAAATGTGGAGCCTGCATCCGTCCCCTCCCTCGAGCTGCAGAGCTGTTCCTATTCCTATTACACATGCATTTGGCTACAGTTGCGAGCCACGAATGTAATTGGACATGATCCGGGTTTTGTAAAGGAATGGAGAGCTGTACTAATATCGATATAAAGTGAATCTGTGTCTCGGTCATTCTGTGGGTGAAAACGAACACATGCCATCACATGTGTGCAGAAAACTACACGTAGTCGAATGGTGACTCGGGGGTGTCTTGCAATGGTTTGGAGGAAACAGTTTCTGTGCTTAAATGTCACAAGCAACCGATTGCTGTTCTGGACATTGGAGAGCAGTGCGGAAAAACAATTTTGCGTGCTCTGCCTAGGGTGAGATATTTGCATTCACTCTTTTTAAGTCACCGCCTTGGTTGTACAAAACACTTCCGCACCCCCTGGGTAGCAGGTCACACAAAAAGAGAAAACATGACCAAGTGGCTCCGCGATAATCTAGTAGTACCCCATGATGTGCCCTGTTGCACCCTTTGATGCAAACGTGCACATCGTTCGCCACCGCTGGTGCTCCTCACACCAATGGCTTCGTGCCATGAAACCTGCATATGCCTTGAGTATGTTGTGTTCTACACTCACAAACATGAGATTCGCCCTCGTTTCGCTCTGAACCCGGCAAGAGCCCGTGCCGCAGCTCTTAGCACCCAACTTAACGGTGCCACATGCGTGCCAGTGAGTTGACGAACTCGCTCGAGACTTTTTGCCACAGTTGATGATTACATCGGCATAGGCAGCATTGAGGGTTTTGGGCCAACTTCGATCGCCAGAGTGTTCACGCCCTAATTATTTCGGCCACAGTCCCTCGATTTGTCGTGGTGAGACGCGCACCACACACAGATATGTAGGGCATGTAGAGTAAGTACACCACACCTTCAGTTCATTTTTCATACAACTACGACCATCCAGGGTCGAACAGGAGGGGGTGGGTAACCACTGGGCTGTTTTCTTTCTTTTTCATTTAGGGCTTAAGTGTAGACTACTTTGTATCGCGAAAAGGGTCCAGCCGTCCTTTTCCCTCGTCAACGGTGCTAAAGTTAGGGACTCACGAGAGCTTTTCACCTTTTGCTCTAACCAGCATATATGTAATTTTTTCACAACATGGGGATTCGAAGTCCTGCGGCCTCATGTGGGTTTTGGATGTAGAGGCGTAAAACCAGGATTCCAAATCGGAATTTTTCCACAACAATTGGCCTAATACTCTCCCTCATGTCTTCCCTTATACCCCCATCATTGTATGGGGACTTGAGGGCCTAGCCTCCCGCATCACACCCTGAGGAGCATGCCCTAGGGGGTCAACGGAAGGCTCTTTTGTTCAGACAGCAGATCGGACATCGAGGTAACGTCACCGTCATCACCCCAAACAGTACCTCCACGACTGACTGCTTTTCGTCGGAGAGATCTTTCCGTTTCGGGGGCATCACTCTGCGCCTTTTGTGTAGTTGACCTGCTACGCCAGTTATTTGTGCGATTATTCTTTGGTTTCCATGAACCGTGCACGCACACACACCGGTCGCCCCGGTGGTCTAGTGGGTAGCGTCGTAGCCTGGCAAGGGCCAGGTCATGGGTTCGACGCCCGACAGAGTGAGTTTTTTCTCGCTTATCAAATCCTGGTCTCCGTTGAAAGCGACGCGCCGCAAAGCTCGTTGTTAGTAAACTTGATCGACTTCATAAGTCGCGAGGGAAGGGGTTGCTGTACCCTTCTCGCGATAAAAATATCTCAGGCAGGAACCGCAGGAAGGATTCCAACCCCCCCCCCCTCCTATGTGACCCCGCTTGGATCGTCTAGCTAGTAGAAGTGAAGGATAGGGGCCAGAGGGCCAGACGACAGAGTCCAATGATGGGAGAAAAACAAACAAACAAAAATAAAAAACACAGCCGGTCGCTCCGGTGATTTAGTGGGTAGCCTCGCAGCCTTTCCAGGGTCAGGTCATGGGTTTGAGTCCCGCCAGAGTGAGTTTTTTCTCGCTTATCAAATCCTGGTCTCCGTTGGAAGCGACGCGCTGCAAAGCTCGTTGTTAGTAAACTTGATCGACTTCATAAGTCGCAAGGGAAGGAATGGCTGTACCCTTCTCGCGATAAAAATATCTCAGGCAGGAACCGCAGGAAGGGTTCCACCCCCCCCGTCCTATGTGACCCCCGGTTGGGTCGTCTAGCTGGTAGAAGTGGAGGATAGGGGCCAGAGGGCCAGACGACAGAGTCCAATGATGAAAAAAAAAAACACAGCATCACACAGTGTCCCGCTTTTCTGAGGTCCCTCAAGGTATCCATGGTCATTCCATTTCCCCATCGCCGACCCTTTCCGTGGGTATTAATATATTACCATGTTGCGCTTGGCGGAGGCCAATCATGGAACCACGTCGTCACCGAGCTGCTTGTGAGAGGAAGTTGGAACAAGTACGATTGCCGAGCTAGCTGAAGGACCGCCTACTTCTTCTGACGACAACGCTAACTGGAACAAGTTCTCTCAGTAACATGGTGGTACCTTGGACGACCTCTTTGTGCGTTGCCACCCCGCTGGTCTCTTAGTCCACCTGCACAACATCACAGACCTTCTCGAAGCCAACTACCTCATCGTCACCGAACCGACGATAGCAGCCCTTCGGGATGGATTCGTTAACAACGGATCAATTACCTCAACGCATCCTGGACGGAGGATCCTGGCCTCTGACGACCGCGAACACAGCGATCGCAGCTCAAGGGGTGCCGCCTTTGATTCGTCTGGCGACACGCCTACCAGTCCCTCGGGTGACATGTATGTCAACCCCTCCGGCCGAACATGTAATAGTTTTCAAGCCTCGACAGGAGTAAAGGAACGGCTAGTCATAGTATTTTGCGGTTGGACATTGGTTGACTTGCTTTGCTGTGTAGCTCCTTCCTATGGTGTCGTGTATGTAGTACAGTCAGTGCATAGATTCCGGGACAACTTTTGGTCCGCGTGAGTTTTGAGATTGCGGGGCCCCGTCCCGGTCTCAATCCCCTCTGTATTTTGTGTTTGCTTGTCGTCACGTGGGTCGCGTGTGGGGTAGTTGCGGTGGCGAACGATTTCCTGTATCACGTTCTTGTATGCAGGGGGATTCTCTCCTCGCTTCCATTCTCAATATTACCCACAATATATGCAATAAAATCAAAACGCACCTGAAACTTGCAACACCAACGAGATTTTCCATGACTTGCTTTTATAACGCCACAAGGGCAGCATCGTTGCCGGAGAATGCCATGCGTTGCGGACGAATCCCACCTCTTGTCCTGTTTGTTGCCAGACCAGCGAGACACGGAAGTGTGAGGTAGAAGTTCTCGATGGAGCACAGGGTAGGTGGGACATTTGTGTCGTGGGAGCAGCTGAGGGTGGCAGGGGACGGCGAAGTAATCCAACAAACGTTCTAGGGTGACCGACCAATGAACACCTAGCTGTCATCCCTGGGTTCTACAGCTTATTTGTACACATTGTTCGTGGAACATCATACCGGTGATGTGAGAAAAAATGCGATTCCGACAACTGTTACAGGTGACCTAGGTTCTTTTCGTGTTGTTGACTCTCTTGAATACATTTTCTGGGCCACCTATCACGTCTTGGTCTCTGTCGAAAACCCCACACGACGTGGAATAATGTAAATGATGCTAGGGAGAGACAACTTTGTCAGTGCCGTCGCTGCAGCCAGTGGGGAAGCTTAGCAGTTATAGGTCTTTCGTCACATGATGTCGACCTCCGCTATATCAATTTCCATGCCTTTTGTCACCTCGTGCTCCCTATCAGCCATCGCACACAAGACATACCTGGATTTGTCAACGGCGTCTGTGTCTTCGTCGGAACGTTTTGCATAATTTTGGCAGTATGACAATGTTCCGTTTCGGGAGATGGCTTGTTAGGCGTTCGCTTCGGACTGTTATCGGTGCCTTGGGTTTCAGTGCTGACCGACATCCTCCCATTGCTGTGTCATGTACTTTAGCGCTGCAGTTTCGAAGTGCTGCTGGCGTTTTGATGTCTCTCCGCACGCCGTGCAGCTTTGCTTCGGCGTTCTGTGGGCCCAGTCCGTTTATCACCCCCGTGGATCCATCGATCTGCGTGCCACTGCTGCAGGAGGTATTGCCCGCCCGGTGCTGACAATCGACTGTCAGCCCGACTCCTGCGCTATCTGTTGGTCGGTCTATGGCTCGTACATCTCGTCCACGTAAATCTTCGACAGCCCAGTTCCGGCGCCTTGGAGTCCTATTGCAGACATACCCGTTCGCTCGGATTCATGGTCTCCGATACATGCGTCTGGAGTTGATTCGCCACAACTTCCATCGTTGGTTGATGCTTTTGGCAGTAGAGACAGTGAACCGGAGAGACAAAAGCTATGGACTGGATCGCCATATGCCCTCAACTGATCCCCCAGGTGCGGCTTCCCCGGGATGTCAGCAGGATGGCCTCCATTGACGTCTGAACATGTTCACTCCTTTCCTTATTTTCCATGGCGGCAGCTTCCGTCTCAAACCCCGGGGAAGCTGTGTCTGGGGATCAGCTGAGGGCATTTGGCTCTCCGGTCCATAGTTTTCAAGATTTCAGGTTGATGCGCAGTTGCAAGCTGCTTGCTTGGTCCAATTTGTTCTCCCGTTCAAGCTACTTGCGTGTGTTGTCGTTCGTAGCGCTGCATGCCTCTCATTGCTGACTAGGATCATTCTGCTTTATGTATGGGAGGTTGACCACTAGCGCTGACGAACGAACTGGCGTGGGTCTAGACCGGCATGATATCGCCATGTATGGGTATTTGTATCATTCGCAAAGCAAACATCGTTGTGGGTTTTCGTCAGTAAAACCAGGTGCCGATTGTCAAAGATCAAGCTCATTATTGCCTACTTCGGTAGTCATATGCTTTGGATTCAGCGTGCCTGAGCAGCAGTAGTTCACGGTGAGAAGCCGCCCTTTAGATATCTGCATGTCTAAGATATGTTATATAAGAATTTCTATCTGTCTAGATGGCATGTTGGCAGGACAGAGATAGATGGAGAGAAGGAGGGACTCGTGTCAAACAATAGACTCTGTTTACCATCGTCACTAAGAAAGTGGACCGACCAGCAGCTCCCCGAGATCACGGGCTGGGAGGATTCCAGCCCTAGGCCCTGCCTAATTTTACGCGTGTCTACAGGACGCAGCGCACCTGGGTAGTAGTAGTTCAAGGTGGGAAGCCGCACTTTGTATCTGCATGTCTGAGATTTGGTAGATTCGGGGTTCTCTCCCTGCCATGTTGACAGAAGAGAGAGCGGTAGAGAGACTGAGAGAGGAACCCCTAACTCTCTTACGGCGAACGATGTGCCAATGGTTCCACCTACCCACCCCGGGCTGATCTTGGTCGTGCAACTCACTGCGTTTACTTGGCGTAGCGCTTGGATTTCTGGCCCCCACCATAATCAATGGCAAACTCCAGCGCCAACCAAAGCCAGTTAATGGGAAACATGAC